AAAAATAGCAAGGTCCAAGTGTCTCCCGTTCAGAACTGCAGCTGAATCCCCTGCGACATTAGGACTGTAGGCTGTGTGCAAAATTTTTATGTGCCAAAATTCTCAGTGACTTTTAACTTTCTCCCGACAACTTTATTTTTTTTTTAATGCTGTAATTTTTTTGTTCATCATGTTTTGCTGTGATGTTACATAGGTAGATATGTATGTAGTTTTAATGTCACCTATAACAGACGTGTTTGGTAGCAGATTGTCCGGAAAGCATTTAAAATGAAGAGGTATAAACCCTTAAGGGCCAAATTCTGTATATTAGATTATTCATAAAAGGAAAATCAGACTGCCACTTTTATGTACACTTACTACATACAGGTAGGTAGCAAACTTAAAACAAACAAAAAAAAAACCTAGGCATGTTGATGTTGCAAAAAACGCTGTATAAAGCTGAAAAATTGTTCATCTGTTCATTCAGTGCCATTGTAGTTGACATGAAGCGATTGTAAAACTGTCTCAGATTTTTCTCTGGTTTATTAAGATGCTAACTATAACATTTTTTGTGAATACTTTGAATGTTTCCTAACAGTTGTGATGTTACTGTTCCGTTTTATGCTCTTATTCCGATTTTCATTTTTAATGGTTTGGAAGCCATTTTTTGTAATGAATAAATGTTCATGCTGTACAGTATCTGTAGCATGCAGTTCTGGATTAATAAAAGCAACTTAGTATGTGCAGAGAATGACTTGTCAACTCATTTATGCGTTGACTGCATTTTATCTGGCCGGAAAGATTTACAGGCCGAGTGGAAAACTTACTGGAAAAAAAAAAAATCTGTGAAAATCGTGGCAAGTTGCAGCCCGTTCTAGTTGTGACAAATCCCCTGTTTCCTTTGGGTTCCCATAGTACTGCCTGTCTGTGTTTGCACTGTCCCTCTCCCGGCTCACCACACTTTTGCATGAATAGCAGCGGTTGAAAATCCTTTTTATTTAAAGCAAATGGCACATGATTTGTCGAAAGACAAACAGCATGTGAGCTAAAGGAATGTCGTCCTTCCATGTGAAGTGAGCCTGACCGGGGGACAGGAGATCAGGGCTGATGATACCTTTAATTTTAATATATTTCTGTTTGACCTGGTGATCCCACAACACAGGGCTACAAGGGTCACACAGGAGAGCCCAGGTAGCCCTAATTAGTCAAAGTCCTTATGCTGGCCTAAGGGTTTATCTCCTGGACACAGATTTAAGTCTAATTTTGCACATTTTGTAAGTGCGGTGAGCCCTTGCAGCACAGCTTGTTCCCAGTGCTGAGCATCCAGCATCCACCCGACACAGCAGTGCCTGCAGATGCTGTGGGATGGGAGTGAATTTACTTGCAAGAATTTTTATTGCATGGTTGATTTGTTTGGGTTTTTTAAACTTAGTGGGGATTTAAACATAATTTCCAGGAATCTGTCACAAGTGGATGTCGCCATAACCCCAGTCATCTTGAAAATCTCAGTCAAGAGTAATTCCTACTGTTGCACTCGAGGGCAATGGAATGTAAAGGTCTCCAAGCAGGTTTGTGCCCTGTCGTTGTGCAGGTGCATTGCTCAGGTAGTGCACTTCAGTTGTCTTGATGGGCTCTGCAGGAAGGGTAAGTATTCTGCAGAGATGTGGGAACAGGGCCATATGGGTAAGTCCAGTCCCAGTGCTGGGACCTTCCTGTCCCTTACTGTGGGGTCCAGTAAAACCAGAACTGGCTGCGAAGTGTTTGTTGGCTGCAGGAGGAGTTTGCTTTGTGAGGGGCTGGGAGGCACAGGGTGAAGTGCTAAATAGTGTTTAAACAATATATAGTACTTTAAATTACTAACATTTAATTACTAATTTACACGCTAAAAGCCTTTTGTTTATTTGTTTGTTTGTTTTCTTTAAACGTGTTAATGAAGGGCAAGACACCTTACTTCTTATGTCCCACTAGAAGGATTAATTTTTTACCAGGCTCCATTTATCTTCCCTGATCCAAGGCCATGGTGTTTTTGTTGTGGTCTAACACGACACTCCCCTTGACTTCAGCAGAACGTGTCCCCTCATCACCCGTGACAGGCATGCGGGCAGTGTGGGTGGGACAGGGAAAAGGACATTGCTGTAAAGCCTCTGTGGAAGGTGCCAAATTTTGCTGCTGTTGGTAGCCAGCAAATTGAATGCAATGCTCAAATAGCTCTCCTGCTAGTTAAGGTCTCTAGGGAATTTTTTTTTTTCTTTTTCCTAAATGTTTTGACTCTTGCTAGGGCACGGCCATCCATCAGCCAGACACATGTGCTGCATCTCTGCTGGGGATAGCTGCTCTCTTCTAAAGTAAGGCATAGTGCTCCAGGGAGATCTTTGAATGCCATGATTCAAAGTAGACACCATCAAGGTATGATTCATATATTCAGCAAAACACTGCTCTTTGCTCGCTGCTTTATTAGCGAACTTTGGAAAGCAGAATCCAAAAGTACCGTTCCTGCACAAATTGGTTTTCCTTCTGTGTGTGTGGTGAGAGAGGCATGTGTTCGAAAGATACATTGAACAGAGCTTGCAAGTGGTGGATAACTTGTGCTGGGAACTTGTTTGCTGTGGAAAACAAATGTATATTCCTGGGAAAGCAACTACTTCCATTTCCTATAGGTTGTGCCGTGACTGCATCCCTTAGAGGGTTTATGCCTTCAAATTTGCCTCCAAATTTCCCTTGCTTTGAGGAACCGAGCTGGGTCAAGGCTGCTGGGGGAAAATTACCATTATCTATATGTACTGCCTTTGTGCCCAGGAGTTACAGCCAAGGGCCCCATCAGTCCAGGTACATGGAAACGTAGTGAAAAGACAGCCCTTCCCGTACACTGCAGGTGTAAAATAGGGTGAGTAAGAGACCACAGGGGTAGGACCTGATCACCGTGTTCACCTCCAGATCCACACAAGTGAGGGCGACTTCTTGAGTGGGGTGGTGACCAAGTGGCACGTTCTGTCCTTCTGCAGGGCTGCCACAGGACAGTGTGGAGCCCTCGTACAGTAGGTAATTCACTGCAGCTATTGCTTCCATCTGTTTTTATGGACTAAGGGAAGGAAGCAAGTCAGTGTATTGCATGTTCGGGAGACATTTATTTTCCATTAGTTTTGTAAATCTCATTTTTCACTTAGCGTATGGAATTTTAAGAAGTTTAAGCAACTGCTGACTCAATAAAGCAGTGCCACATGGTTTTAAGCTTTGCTTAAGGAAAGGAAGGGAAAGGCAGGGAAAAAAGAGCAATCTTTACAGTCATGTTCATTTCATTACACCGTAAAAAAGATGTAAAGAGAATTTACAGTAAAATAGTTGTACAGGCCATTGCAACAATCATGAAAGCAAAACTATTATTATTATTTATGACAATACTACTACTACTACTGCTAAAAAATGTGTGTGACAGTGCTGCCCAGCTGTGTCTGGCATACAGATAGGAGCACTTTATAGGAGCTCCTATATTATAGGAGCTAAGATTCTGGGTAAAGGTTTTGAATGCTGTTTTGTAAGAGATGCTCCAGCTAAAGACTTAATTTGGGACAGTACCAAGATTGACCTTCAGTGATCTTTGTCGGATAGGAAATCAAAAGCTCGTTGAGCATTAAAAATATGAATATTTGAATTTGCTCAGAGACTGTAGCAATTGCTATATTATAAAAAAAGGATAGTTACTTTCGCATTCATTTTAAGATGTCCTCAGAAAACATCTCGAGACTTTCAAGGCAGATCAGCTATAAGTGAATGCATCCCAAGCACCCATCATTGTCAATAATGTCACCAACACGTTTAGTGTAGTGTTCCCTGGACTGATTTTCTTCTGAGATCAATCAAAAATATTATTGCATAACTTTCATCTATGATCTAGGAGTTGTTCCTTTTCTGAGGTTGGAAATGCTTTTAAGTTTGGGGTGGGGGAGTGTTAGTCTGGACCTCTAAGACAGTTGAGAACATAAAGTCATGCTCTGTGTCCATCTGTTTGACCCTCTCCTGATAATTCTTGGGATACTCTGGCATTTTGAACCAGATTTGACAGCGGCAGTCAAACTCTCAGAGATGATAAAGTCCCTTTGAGTTCCAGGGAAATCTCTGCCGGCACTGAGAAGAGAGGCTTTCCAGATCCACTGCTGAAGAAAAGGCAAGGATAGCTCAGCTGTTATCCATTCTTTCTGGCAGCATCCAGATGGCCAATTATCACACGTCTACTTCTGGACCAGCATCTGCACTCTCCTGCCCAGCTGGCAGGCCAAGAAGATTAGGTAGGAGACATGGAGAGCGTTGGGATGTTGGAGGAAACAAGGGAGAGAATTAAGGGTATGGGGAAAACTGGAAGGACTGCAGCTGCAATATGTAATATTATGTAAGACTGCAGTGGGGAAGAGAGGGGAGGGGAAGGACAATGGGGAGAAGGAGACACATCTGCAGGACACCAGGCCTTGCTAATGTTAACGCTCGCAGAGCAAAGCTGCTCTGGAAAAGTAGCTGCCATGGTGTTACCTGCTCCTTGTCTCATTCCCTCAACTTAGCTGCTGGCACCAGCTCACCCATGGGAAGCACAGCCTGGTTTGGGAGGTACCTGCTGGCAGGGGCTGCGGCTGGACAGGCTTGCGATGCCCTGGTGGGGCCCCTGCCTGAAAGGTCTGCAGGGTGGGGAAAGGCTCAAGGTGTTTCCACAGCTCCTGGTGAAGACTTGAGTTGGGTGTGCAAAGCAAGAAGGGTGGGGCTTTTTTCAAAAAAGAAAGGGAAAAAAAATTGTTACCTTATTTGCAAACAAGCCCGTTTGTAGTAGCTGGTTC